GTGTGTGTGTGTGTGTGTGTGTGTGTGTTCAACCAAAATATATCTGGCAAAAAATAATAGTGTTAAGAAAATTATATATTTTTGGTATAGAAATGAATATTATATTTATATGTAATAGCCACACGTATGGTTGACCATCAAAATTGATTGATTAACTTTTTTTTTATCTATTTTGACATTGTAGTTTCCTAAATTGAAATAAATATATCATTATTGATGAAGAAAATAAAAAAAAAATGGTTTTTATACATTTTGAATTGAAGCATTAAAATGGTTATTTTCTTATCATCTGTCTGTTTATATGTTATGGCAAAATAAGTTTTTTTTATCGCTTGTAAATTTAGTTACTCTTATTCCTACTTTATCATTCTAATTTATGGCTTAATTATCTAATCTATATCATTATTATTCTTTTTTAATATGCTACTTTTCATTATAGAGTTTGAAAGTTCTTACAACACTTCACCTCATTAATGTGCATGCAAAACTTTCTATTTTCTTGTTAAACCCATAAAGGTTTGATTTAAAATGTCTTGACTTTCTGATCTACTGACTAAGTTGGGATTACTTTGTTGATTAATGAATGAAATATAATTAAATTTAATGAATTACTTTGTTAAATAATATATTTATGATTTAATAAGAGTTAGAGCTTTTGTTTTTCCTTGATAAAACTCTGCTTCTTGAACATTTTAAGTATTGTTATGATTTTTTAGAATTTTCTTTTAATTTTATATGATTTTCTAAATTTTCTAAAACTTATAAAGTGATTTTTCTACTTTATAGAGTTTTACCAATTAGTGCTAACATGAAATACCATTTACACACGATAATCTCTGGTTGGCACGAACTACGACACAAGCTGACATTAATTCTCATTGCTTGATCAATGATTGAATGACAAATATTAACCCCCAAATCTTTAAGTTGTAAGATATTCAATATAACTAGATCAGGATTGTCATCTTAAGCCATGGAAATGGATGGCGCTAACTTGGCGCTAACTTTGCTTTCTGCCTCCAACCAAGAGATGCAGACCATCCACTACATTTCCACTTATTTGAGCAATCTAGTAAATTATTTCTAATTTTGTTCGCTCAAAAGGATCAAAAACTTCTATAGGTTCTATCCTTTGATAGATTTGGTCCTTCAGCCTAGTTTCCTTCTCTAAATTTTAGAAAAAAAAAGAACAAATACAAGAGGGGTACCTGTGTTCATCTTGTCTATGATCCAATTCACTACGTGATGAACTTCATCTCGAACACTTGAAGAATATTCTTAGCACTGTGACTACGAGGGATAGCTAGAGACGAGGAATCAAAGTCCAATAGGGAGAGTTTGTGCAAACTTGAAGCATGATTTGAATGCCTTAATTTGAGTTGGGGAGGTTGATTTATCTTGAGGAAAAGACATAAGTTTTTGTTTATGATTGACCCAGTTAGGACTACAAAATGGTTATCTTACCCTCCTGAACTCCCACTTCACTAATTATGGTTGATTGAAGTGGTTGGAACTAAGAGGATGTTTTTGGAGGGACTTTTGTCCAACTAGCTTTTGGTTGCTAAATCTAAGTAATTCTTAAATTTCTTTCTTACCCTCTTTCATAGATTCTCTTTCTCACTTTAGAAAAAAATATATTTAAACTTGCAATTCATAATTTATATTTTATATTTTATGTTTGAAATTTTGTAATTATCATTGAGTAATTTCTTAAATTAGTTTACTAATAATAATGTCCATGTAATATTAGAGATTATGTAAAACCATATATTAATATTATGTTTGTATAAATTACATAAAATTGTTAAAATATATGAGACTAAATTAGTACAACTATTATAAATTAACACGATGAAAGACATTTTTAAGAATTGAATCTTAGAACAATATTAAAGGTTTAATGAAACCATGACAATGTTATTTTATATTTAAAAGTTGATGTATGATAGAGCTTATTAAGATCCTTTTTAATTTAGAATTTATTGAGCACCATGTTTTAGAGCAAGAATATCGTGCATGATGGATTAGTCAAAATGCTTATATTTATAAGTTGGTGCATTTTATTTAGTGAAGGATAGATTTATATTTTCTTTTTAGAAGCATTATAATTTTTTTTTTTTTTGATAAATTTTACTTATAGATGGTGTACTATAAAATATGCTTGATTATTCATAGTATTTCTTGTGAACATGTTAATATGATGTGATGTTTTGTTCTATAATGCTACTTATTTCACAAGTTCTAATAAAACTTATATATATCATTTTGATTCTTGAAAATTAACAATAGTAATTATGAATCACGAAGATGTTGAGATATGATGGGTCCGTTTGGGGCAGTTTGTGCGTTTCAGGATAAGCTGCTTATCCTGAAACGCGGCATGTGGGCCGACCGCGGGGGTCGACCCGTCGCTTGCATTTAGTATAAAAACTCAAACGCAGTTTCAGATAAGTTGGAGAAACGTGCGAACCAAACGGTACAATGGCGTTTTGAAAACGCTGCCCGCACTTATAAGCTGCCCCAAACGGATACCAAATTTGATCATATTAAACTCATTATTAAACGCTTTCATTATAATAGTAATGCATATAGTATATAGATGTGTGCAATATTGTATAGACCAAAATTTTTTTTTTGAATACTCGCTTGTTAGGGTTGAAGGGACACAATGATGATTCCATTAAAAATCATTAGATTTCTATAGATTAGTATGTCTTTTAAGTTTATGGGTGCCTTGAAACAATCGGGCATAGATATCTAGTGATATAAAAATAAATAAATAAATGATTGTTATGCATTCACAAATTTATAAATATAATATGCTAGTGAGTGCTATTTCTTACATTTGAGCACAATAATCATTAGTTTGCATAGAAAACATTTGTATAAAATGTGATATATAATAAGCACTATTAATTATTGTTTTATATTTTAAAATTAAAACTTTCATGCACTACTTATAACGGTTAAACTATAATATTTGATTAATATTATTCTCTCTTTATTTAATTAATTTTTTGGCATGCCTTGATATTTATACTTCACTCACTGTGATTTCATTCATTAAGTTTGTTTCTTGCAAATTATAATTTATTTATTTTTATTATTTTTATATTATTAATTATGCAACATCTATATAAGCATTTAGTGGCATGCATTTGGTATATCATTGGAGGCATTCAAGGTTAGAGTTATTAAATTAATTCAATAGTGTAGCAAAATTATATATATATATATCTATATCTATATATATATATATATATTGGGGCATAAAATGAAGATTTATTTATATATATATATCTATATCTATATATATATATATATATTGGTGCATAATTAGTAGATTTAATTAAATATAGAAGCTCTGATGATCGTATTGATGAATAACATATAACTGAAAGCATTTGGGATAAATTTGTGACATGGATTTGGCTAATTTGCTGAGATAACATATTAGATCAGCCATACCAACTCGATGCAGCAATCTGCTCAAGGGATTAGACAAAGTAATTTGCCCTTGAAGTCAAATAAAAAAGAGTGACTATGGAGGCTTAGTTTACTCATCTGAGAAATACGCCTAGCCGTGTGGGCGTGACAAACTCAATACCATAATCCCTTAACCCAATTGAAAAAACTCATCTCCTTGCCACATCACCAACTTGTTTAACAAATATATTGCTGAGGATGATCCGCCAATAGAGAAGCATTTTTTGAAGTAAACATTAATCAAGGTAAAATGTTATCAACAGAATATTTTAACATCCAAGCCTAAGAAAGACAATAAACATAGGAAAAATATCACTTGGGGTCCAGAAATAATAATAATAATATTTGTAACAATTGTAATTATAAATAAGTGCATTATATAAAAAGGGGTTGATCCTCAAATATTAAAGAACACTCATTTTTTAGGGAATCTTGACCATATTCTTTAATCTTTACCATTATATACTATAACTCTTTCTTTGGATGTGCTAGTCCATGGACATTTCATAATCCAACATATTATTATCATTAAACTCCTACATTTTCATGAACTTTGATTTGTTTTCAGCTTATGGCTTCTTGCTTTGGTTTTGCCATTTTATTCTAAGCCTTATGATGAGATGTGATAAATGTGCCTCTATTTTCATGGATTTTGGAATATTTGATTTTTATGCAGTTAATATCATCAACTCATGCATGCATGTGTGTCTTATAATTACAAGCCTTGGTGTGCTTGTTCTCTTTCTTTCATTTGGTTTTATTTCAAGTTGTATTATCATTCAAACAACATGGTCCATCTTTTTCATATGATGGGTTTTGAATTGCTATTTATTGAATCAGGAGTTCAGGAGGATTGAATTTCACAAAAAAAAAAAAAAAGTTAAATATATAATGAATATGAATTTATTGGTGCAAAAAAAAACTTAATTTTAAATTAAAAATATATATATAATAATTTTTATTATGAAATCTATTGCATGTATGGCCAACAAAGAGGAGGTAGTTTAAAAACACATTGGTTATTACTTGTACTGTATGTTTATATTATAGCTTTTGGTATTGT